GAGAGAGAGAGAGAGAAATAAAGCAATGTGGTGAGAGAGAGAGAGAAATAAAGCAATGTGGTAGAGAGAGAGAGAGAGAGAAATAAAGCAATGTGGTGAGAGAGAGAGAGAGAGAAATAAAGCAATGTGGTGAGAGAGAGAGAGAGAAATAAAGCAATGGTGAGAGAGAGAGAGAAATAAAGCAATGTGGGGAGAGAGAGAGAGAGAAATAAAGCAATGTGGTGAGAGAGAGAGAGAGAAATAAAGCGATGTGGTGAGAGAGAGAGAGAAATAAAGCAATGTGGTGAGAGAGAGAGAAATAAAGCAATGTGGTGGGATAGAGAGAAATAGAGCGACAGAAAGTGTGAGAAATAAAGAGAGGCTAAGAGAGAGACGGAGAAGTATATATTATTATGAATTCCTGAGTCTACAGGGCCTGAAGCTTGAGGTAGCGTTGTGAGACTGTAAGACCTCGGACATAAAGCCATTAAGGGAAGCTTGAGACAGTGGCAAGTTAAGCTAAAGGATGACCTGATGACTTGGAGGTTGGGGAAGAAGGGGGGAGAAGGAAGGGAAGATGGCAGAGGGAGGGGGAGAGAGGAAGGAGACTGTGGGGAGGAGGGGTAGAAAGGAAGGTGGGGAGAAAACAGAGGAGGAAGTGATCAAGGGAGGAGAAAGGGAAGAAGATCGTGGGAAAATGTGGGTTACAGAGTACTGAGATCGGGGGGGTGCCGGTCAACCAGAGGGTGGCAGCATGGAGGTACCTCCATGGGTGGCAGTGTCAGCCAATCAGAGGATGAAAGTGTAAGCCAATCAGGGGACGAGAAGATCAGTTGTCGTGAGGTGACAACCCAAAAAATTAGAAAGGCAGAATGACGACAGCAAATGAGAGGTGAGTGACAGCCAATCAGAGATGTCCACCGGACCATAAGAGGACTAGGAATGACTGACGACTCATTAAACCTGGTCAAGTTACCCAGATGCTCCACAGAGACGTCAGCTGAGCAGTGAGGTGAGAAGACTCATGTCGCAGTTACTCCCGACCCACTTGCTTCCACTTGCTCACGTCGGCGCCTGGCCAGACTTACTGTCGCCACACACGCCACTCTCACTTTGACGTAGATATCTCGTCTTTGTTGAATTGACTTGCTTGTCTCTCTGTGTTTTATGCTCACATTTCTTAGTGCCCTCACCGATTCTCCCAGTATTAACGAACCCTGCGGGAACTGTCGTTAGGACAGGCCACAAAGGGGCTCCTTAGAGGGGTGTGAGCTGGGTCGGTGAGTTTAGCTGATAGGGTAGAGTAGGCTCCTCCTTTTTTGGGGATCCTGTTGCAAAACCAGAGCCACCAACCTACGACCCCCGTTGGGGGGGGATGGCTACGGCACTGGTCCTAGGGCAACAAGGAACTAGGTAGGTGTAGTGAGCGAGAGAGACGTAACCGATGGAAGGAAAATGCCACAAGAGGCCTCGGAAGGAAGACAACATCTCCGACATAGACAATTATGTCCCCAGCAATCCACCCCGTGGCAGAACCACCCACCTTCGAGATTCCGACTGTGATGGAGTATAAGATTCCCAAAGAAACTGAATTCAACCATGCGTACGAGGTAGTGGTAGCACTGGAACTAGAATACAAGAACATCAAGTTCAGTGTGAAGCCCAATCTAGTTGGAGAACTGATACTTTCCCCCAAGACCACAACACAGCCAAGATCCTCAGCGAGGTCACCAACCTCAACGGGAAGACGGTCAAAATAATACCACTAGACCCCGAGGAGAAAACAACCAGAATGGTCCGACTACGATATCCTCTGGAACTACCTGTAGAAGTCATCATAAAACATCCAAAAGTGACCAAGGCAGAGTGTTGTGTTACGAGTCAGGACAAAACACAGACAAGGCAAGTGCTAGTGGACATCAAGGGGGACAGTCCCAGAGGAGGTAGACCTAGGCAACTGGGGAACTTACAAGTTGCGTCCTTTTGTCCCAGAACCACTACGATGCTACAAATGTCAGGAATTTGGACAGCACCAATCCAGGTGCCACAAAAAAGTGAGATGTGGCATCTGCAGCCAAAGCCACAAGACAGAAATGTGTATTCAAAAACACAAGGAAGGAACCACCACGACAGCCAAGTGCCCAAATTGTGGAAAGAAACATCACGCTTGGAGCACATCATGCCCAGAGAGGAGAGAGCGAATAAAAGTTGCAATGGCAAAAATTCAACCACAAAACACAACAGAAGCACCTCAGAGCACAATCGTGTGGGGTCAACAGCGACAGAAACTGTCAACCCAACACCCACTCCGCCCCAACTGTCAGAGGATTCCTTCCCTGCACTTCCCCCACCAGGCTACAGGACAAAATTTAAGACACTTGGACAAAATCAGTCCATGTAGGAAACCATGACAAATCAGTGGAATCCACAACCGCAGCTCCAGAGCTGTATAGCAGTAAAAGGACAGAACACTCCAGTATTGGTGGAGAACACCATATTGCCTGGGACACTGCAACCCCCAACTGAATACACCCCAGCCTGCCAATCTACAAGCAGCATTCACAGAACAAATATAACAGATGATCACCATTATGATAGTGACTTTCTCTACTATAATAAAGAAACAAGATACCAGCACCGAAAATATAATAAATGCAGTTATGACACAGCTCACAGAAAAGATGCAGGAAGACCAGACCCCAAAACTCCACAACTACAAGTGGAACAGACGACGCCCTTGAGTCAGATATCAGACAAGAAGAAGAACTTGCCATCCGAGAGAGAACTCAACACCGTGAAACCTCAAGCCCCTTGCAACGGATGGAACAACAAGCACAGACCGTCAGCAAACACACGATCACAGACAAGAGCGACAGCACCCTGAAGAGAGAAGAAAAAACTCCCGAGATACCTCCCAAAACAAGCGGAATTCCACCTCCTGCTCCTCCCTCAGAGCAGGTGCCCAAGAAACAGCCACCATTCCTAACGGACGAGGAGGAGAGCGACTCAACCATGAACGCCGAGAGCAACTACAGCACCAGCGACGAGGAGATAATGATAGAATAGCCCCACCTCCTTGTCATCTCAAGATAACACAGTGGAATGTACAAGGCCTGTCAACAAACGGCATACTGTACAAGCAGCAGCCATAGCTAAAAATATTGATGTCTTCATTCTGCAAGAAACCCTGATGTCCAAAGATAAACAATTCCGCTTGCCTGGATACCAACAGTACTCTGTACCAAAGGCGCCCAACTCCTATGGCAGCATGATTCTCGTCAGGGCGACCATCCCCAGTCCAGAAGTAGAACCAGTTCACTGTGGAGATGGAGTAGAGGCACAAGCTGTTCGGATACACCTGGCAAACGACAGTCTTGTAGTATACAAAATCTATAAACCGCCACCCAAACGACTAGAAGCCGGTGGGGACTTCAATGCCCACCATCCAACGATCAATTCAACCACAAGGATGAACCAGGATGGTCATCACCTAGTGGAACTGCTGACAGATGTTCCAGAAATAACGCTCATTAATACTGGGGAACCAACACACATACTGGGAGGAACATTGGACCTCACATTCATCTCCACTGAGCTCGTTCCAGTAGCTCAGTGGGAGATGGATGATGAACTGACCAGTGACCACTTTGCAACGACAATCACTTTGCGGGTGGAGCTACTCCCTCCTCCCCCACGTCCGCCACCCAGATGGAATACCAAGAAAGCAAATTGGAAATTATATCAAGATGAACTCCAAAAATGGTTGCTGTCCAACATGCTTGTCAAATTACTCAGAAAATTAGGGAAGACAAATGGCTCGAGTGGTGTGCAACCTTTAATGCACACACCAGTCTGAGTGAACTCTGGAGAAAACTCAGGATAGCAACAGGAAAACTGCCCAGAGCTCCAGCCCACCCCCAGCCATTACAGGAAGCAAATCGCTTGGCAGAGCACTTTGCAGAACGCTCGTCATCAGTTCAACTGCCTCCTGAAATAAGACTTCATCTACAGCAAGTACAACTGGAGAGAGAAGTAGTTGTCAGACATGCAATTGAACAAACTGACACTACAAACTGTCTGTTTACTATAGAAGAAATCAGAAGGGCCAGGAAAACAGTGATGGTATAACCTATTCATTGCTCAGCAATGCAGGACTTGCTGGTGAACTTGCTCTCCTAACAGTTATCAACGCATCATGGTCAGCAGGCAAACTCCCGTCAGCTTGGAAAAGAGCAAACATTGTTCCTATTCCTAAACCCAATGATCCCCAAAATTTCAGACCAATATCACTAACAGCATGCATCGGCAAAACCGCCGAAAGGATGGTCCTTACACGACTCCTCTGGAAAACTGGACCACTTCACCACAATATCTTTGGATTCACCAAAGGTCTCAGCACTGCACACAGTTTGGCCGCTCTCCTGGGATCGATTGGTCAAAATAAGGCAATCGTAGTATTCCTTGATCTAGAGAAAGCATTTGCGCTGGCAAATGCACAGGCCATTGTAACCACTCTGGCCCGGAAAGGCGTCAAGGGATGCCTACTGGCTTGGATTGCTGACTATCTCCAAAACAGAACAGCAAGAGTTACCTGTCAAGGAAAAGTCTCAAATCACCAAAGACTGGAAAGTGGCACGCCACAAGGAGGAGTTCTTAGTCCATCTCTCTTCAACATCCTCATGGAAAGCTTGTGTCGGCTCCCCTTTCAAGAGGGTACCAAACTGCTATGCTATGCTGACGACTTAGCACTGATAGTAAAAGGCAGAAACCAAATCAGCAAAGTCCAAAAAGCACTAGACCTCATCAGTGAAGAATGTATGAGTCTCGTGCTCAAGATATCAATCCCAAAATCGAAAGCCATGAGGATTGGACACAATGAGCCGGTGACACAACTGCAAATACAAGGTATTGCCCTACAATGGGGCAATGTATACAAATACCTGGGCATCTGGATTGACAAAGGCCTCAAATTTGACTCTGAGATAAACTATCTAAGAGACCGAATAGTCAAGAGAGTCAACATGATGAGAACCATTACAGAACCCAAGGTGGGTGCAGGACATGTAGTCCTAAGAACGCTATATATACACGCCATTCGATCATTAACAGACTATGCGACACCGGCTCTTAACACACTGTCTGAGTGGCAGTGGGCGAAATTGGAGGTTGCCCAGAATAACGCTATGAGAGTCATTGTCAAGGCACCTATGTGGAAAAAAATTGAAAACTTACACATGGAGACAGGTCTCACATCTCTCCAAACCAGGACGGAACGATTAACTGCGTGCTTTGCAACAAAGCTGATTACCGGAGCTCGGGAAAGTGACATCAAGAATGGACTCTTACGAGCACTGAACCTTAACAGAGACGTTTTTAACAAGAAAACATGGCTATTGTGCGCAGCTGAGGCTGTAAATCGACTGAAATTGAAAGACACAATCCTCAGCAAAGGACCTGATACATTGAGTCCAGACTACAGCACCCCAGCACCGTGGGAGTCCCCGCCAGCAGTCTTCAACATTCTACAAACTGGGACAAGAAAGGCTGACTGTAACCCATATGAGCTCCGACAGGTAGCAGAGAGAAACATGAAGGCTCTAACAACACACAATAGTACAGTGTATTACACAGACGGTTCCGTAGAGCCCACCAGTACGAAGGCAGGAGCAGCCTTCACTATAGAAGGAGGTAACACGTCCCTTTGGAGAACCTCAGATGGATGCTCTACTTTGCAAGTTGAGCTAGCTGCCATACTTGAAGCCCTAAGACACGCTTCCATAAACAGTCAACAAGGCGTTGTAATACACACTGACGCACGATGTGCTATTGAAGCACTACAATGCAGAGAGCCTAGAGACAACATTCATTTCATAACATCCGTTGTTGGTCTACTGCAAGGGTTAAGACTACAAGATCGGCCAGTTATCATTAACTGGGCGACCAGTCATATCGGAATCCCAGGGAATGAACGAGCTGATGCTGCTGCCAAGGCTGCTGTAGGACAGCGAAACATTGAGATGAACATCCCGCCCAGTCAGGAGCAAATAAAGACCACAATAACACGAACTGCCCAGTGGAAAATAGACAAACATAGAAGATTAACACCAGTATGACGATCGGCCAGGTGGTACTATCTGGTCACGAATTATGAGAGACCACCACTCATGAAGGATATAACAAGAAGGGAAGAGACTGGGATACCCATGCATATGGGAAATCATTGTACAAGTACCAGCAGAGCAGCGCATGTGCAAGACCTGCGACAGCGGAGCAGAAAACTCACTGCAGCACTACCCCATAGAGTGCCCTGGAACACAATTAGCTAGGAGAAACATACAACCCCCTATCACAGCAGAAAAGGTTGCCAAAATGCTAACCACCAACCACTCTCAAGAAACCCTACAGTTTCTTACCGAGCATCCACCCCCACGCTAGTGGTGATGTACAGTTAACTAAAAAGATGCTGGTGTTTTATCCCAGCAGTGGGTGGACCAGCATTTTAGCTTAAGGTCCGCGTAGGTAATATTAAAAAAAAATGCTGAGTAAGCGATCCTCCTCCTCCCTTCCCGTTTCCTCTATTTTTCTCGTCCTCCTCCTCCCTCCTTTCTTCTTTCTCCTTTGGTTTCCTCCTCCCTCAGGATCGTACCCACGAGGGGGGTAGTGCAGACCCTGCACATACTAATTGATTTTTTAGCTATTTTAAGTGTACTGGACTTTCTTTGTAAATATTTGTACAGTAAAATGAGCATTTAACTCATTATAAACTACTATATAGTGAAAAAGTGTTGCACATAAAATTGTGGATGAAATAAGTATGTTTTAGTAACTTTTCACTTTTTTAATTTTTTGCAAAATTTTCTTTCAGTCTTGAGATTATTTCGCGACTTTCCTGGGTAGATCTAGCACAGTTACCATATGTTACATGTGGTAATAATATCCTTAGCATTTCATAATGTCATGAAGCAAGTACTGTAATTGTGGTAGTTAATTTTAAATTAAATAATTATCCAAATGGGTCCCTAATTTTATTTACATAATAACTGCTAACAGAAAAAACTATCATGTTCTATGATGTTAAAAATAAGACAATAAAATTTGATTTTTGTTTGTGGAATTTTGTAGTACGGAAAAAATCATCTGTGTAAAAATAAAAAATAAACTGTATCTGGTCATGAACATGAGAGTTGCATAGAAATAAATCACAGTCAGCTGGCACGGCGGCGCCATAATCACCACCTATTGCATAATGGCAGGGTTGGCCCTCTAAGTGTATAACCCTGGCTACGGACCCGTCCTCCCTCCTTCCTTATTTCCTTCCTCCCGATTTTTCTCCTCCTTCCTCCTTCCCTTCCTCTTTTTTCCTCCCTCTTTTCTTTTTCTCTTTGTCTTCTACTCTCTCGTTCTCTCCTTCCTTCCCTCTCTCCCTTCCAAGCACACGACGATCCAACATTCAAAACAATACCAGAGTATACTGCTTATATCACAGTGTAGGACTGGTGATGATAATAATAATAAAGTAATAATAATGATAAAGAACAAACAACAACAACAACAACAACAACAATAATAATAATAATAATAATACACACACACACACACACACACACACACACACACACACACACTAATAGTAATAATAATAATAATAATAATAATATGTATGGACTACTACCACTGAAGATAATACGTTGAATTTACCCAAAAATATACAGTATTATCTCCCCTACTAAACAATAAGAATATTACCCAGGGTAACCACTACAAGACACCAGGAGGTGGGCGTGGCCAAGGTGTACAATTGCGCCGACAGGGACCTCAGGTGGACGCACCCCTCCTGCCCACCTGTTTAATAAGACCCTGATACCATAACACTGTAGGAAGGGGGGGTTAATAACACACCTGAGACCAAATTCTCAAAGGTGGATACGCTGAATTTTCCTGCTAAGTGGATATTTACGAATGCACCAGGCAACTGAATTTAAAGGCACTGTGAGAGGCTTAAAAACAAAGGATGACCTAATATAACATCAGGTGAGACCAATAACATGGGATCCACTAATCCACACTCTACCTCTACTGCACACGAAAGAAGAGCTTATAAAAGTGAGCGACGTATCAAGTAAGAAGTCAGGTCAGGTTGTATCAAGATTTATCTTGTCCACGTTTCCATTCTGGATCTACATGATATATATATATATATATATATATATATATATATATAAGGTATATAAGTATATAAGGTATATATATATATATATATATATATAAGTATATATAAGTATATAAGAAAGAAGTATAAGTATATATATACATCCATCTTTTTGCCTATCTATCTGTCTATCTATCTTTTTATCAGTATACTCAATAAAGTGGTCTACCAATTTTTATATCACGCCACAAATATCAGCCAAGGCATTACACAACCTAATCCAATTTGGAAGGTACGTGACCGTGTGTGTGTCCCGAGTGATGAGGACCTACTGATGTGCTCACAAATGGTGTCCTCACAGACCCTCACAGATGCTGTTCTCACAGACCCTCACAGATGCTGTTCTCACAGACCCTCACACATGCTGTTCTCACAGACCCTCACAGATACTGTTCTCACAGACCCTCACAGATGCTGTTCTCACAGAACCTCACAGATGGTGTTCTCACAGACCCTCACAGATACTGTTCTCACAGACCCTCACAGATGCTGTTCTCACAGAGCCCCACAGATGCTGTTCTCACAGACCCTCACAAATGCTGTTCTCACAGACCCTCACAGATGCTGTTCTCACAGGCCCTCACAGATGGTGTTCTCATAGACCTCACAGATGCTGTTCTCACAGAGCCTCACAGATGCTGTTCTCACAGACCTCCCAGATGCTGTTCTCTGAGCCCTCACAGATGGTGTCCTCTGGTAGCCCTCTGAATGCTGTTCTCACAGACCCTCACAGATGCTGTCCTCACAGACCCTCACAGATGCTGTTCTCACAGAGCCTCACAGATGCTGTTCTCACAGACCCTCACAGATGCTGTCCTCACAGACCCTCACAGATGCTGTTCTCACAGAGCCTCACAGATGCTGTTCTCACAGACCCTCACATATGTTGTTCTCACAGACCCTAACAGGTGGTGTTCTCACAGAACCTCACAGATGGTGTTCTCACAGACCCTAACAGTTGGTGTTCTCACAGACCCTCACAGATGGTGATGTCACAGAACCTCACAGATGCTGTTCTCACAGACCCTCACAGATGCTGTTCTCACAGAACCTCACAGATGCTGTTCTCACAGACCCCCACAGATGGTGTTCTAACAGACCCTCACAGATGCTGTTCTCACAGACCCTCACAGATGGTGTTCTCACAGAGCCGGACGGTGGGTCAGAGATTATCGTGTTTTAATTGGTTTGTTTGAAGTCTCGTGATAATTAAAGATTGACTTCCAGTTTCTAAATGGAAATTAATGGTTCACCGAGTAAAAGCCGGTAGGCCTCGTGTGTGTGTGTGGCTGGAATCTATTTTGATGGGAGATTTGGTATGCGAAATTGAACCTTGTGGACCAGTTGGCAAAATCTCTCTCTCCGTACATTAGACTTTCTCCAAACAGGATTTAATTAAATATAGGTAACTCGCAACGGAGTTCCAGTTCATTTTGACGCCATTCCTTGTACCCATCTTTGTATCGTAACTTAAGTGGGCAAATTAGAATGTCAGAACCGTTCCCGCATCCAATGCAGTAGTTGGGTCGAGAAGTTTAGGCATGCTTGTGGGTCCGTTCAAAAGGTGCTGTGAATAGACTAGAATCACTACTCCTATATAAAGTCGTGTCTCTGCCAAGGTAACCATTTCTTTTCGTCATGAGAATGAAAGAAGAAACTTACTCATGTGCGTCATCAAACAATTATCGTTAATGAAGGCTTTGCTTACACGGTCAATAATATTTAGAGTGGTGGTGCGCTGCGTGAGTGCACGGGGAAGCAGTATTTATGTAGCGTTTAACATTTCTTGACGTCATGTGAACGCGGGTTCATCAAGATTAGATTATTATTTTTTTACTCAAGAGTGGAGGTGGGAGTTAGCAGATTATTGGTAAAGTCTCAGTATAGTTATGAAGTATATTTACCTACCATTTTAGTAGAGTTGCTTCAAGGAACGCCAGTGTTGAACTGCCATTTTTTACCACAAAATTACTTCATGAGTTTTCCATACTGTGATCCTCCCCGGTGTACTCCTGTGTATGTGGTCAGTGGCACGAGTCTGACATCTGTTGTTATTAATATCTGTTCTGTATAAGCACAAAGATCATAATAACCTCCTCCTACCTCCCCCTCCTCCCTCTTATGTTCTTCCTTGATTAATTTTGGCCACCCCTTGACGTGGTCAGGCTCTCTGTGTTATTGACGTGTTTTTTTTTCTTTTCTCTTGACAGCGGTGTTGGTGGCGGAGTTGGTGTGGGTGGTACTGGGCGTGGTGTGGCTTAGTCGACACTACCAGACTTGCACCTCACAGGCCGCCAAGGACGCCATACTGGGTACGTAAACATACAAACAAACACTCATTATATGCACTTCCTTCAGTCACGGACGCTGTAGTGGTCACGTACACATTTCAGGCTAGCACACACTTGCTCTCTCGCCTAACTTAGCCAAGGACACGTAAACAATCATTTAAGAACATAAGAATGGAGGAAACTGCAGCCGGCCTATTGGCCCATACTGGGCAGTCCCATTTACACCCAATCCCTATTGCTCATATATCCATCCAACCTATGTTTGAAGGCAGCTATCCAGCGTATTCGAGTTAATGGTGCTGTTTGGTAACTTGTTCCACTCATCCACTACTCTATTTCCAAACTAATGTTTACCAATTTCGCGCTTAAATCTAAATTTGTCTACTTTAAAACCATTGTTACGAGTTCACTCCTGGTTGGATAGTTTGAGTACCTTTGTAATGTCACATTTGTTTAGCCCTGACTTCCATTTATACACACCTCTATCATATCGCCCCTCACTCTACGTCTCTCGAGGGAGTGCAAATTAAGATGCTTTAACCTGTCTCTGTACTCAAGGTTCTTAAAGCTCGGAATTTGTCTTGTCATTCTCCTCTGAATTCTTTCTCGGGATTCTATATCCATTCTGTATTACGGTGACCAGAATTGAATTGCGTAATCCAAGTGAGGTCTCACAAGCGCAAGATATAGTTTTAGAATGACCTCGCAAGTCTTGTAACTAACACTCCTTTGTATGAACCCAATTACTTTATTAGCCTTGTTTCGAGCAAATACACATTGTTTACTTGGCTTACGATTCCTACTTATCATTACTCCTAAATCTTTATCACAGTCGGATTGCTCTATAACATCGTTGTTCATCTGGTATCTGGTTTCTCTGCTTACATCTAGACTAAGTACTTTGCATTTGTCCACATTGAATTTCATCTGCCATTTTTCACACCATTCGAAATTTTTTTTAGATCTTCTGTAGTTTTACGGAGTCCTCATCAGATTTAATTACACGCCCTATTTTAGTGTCATCAGCAAATTTACTTTTGATGCTGTCTACGCCGATATCTATGTCGCTTATGTACATAATATACAATAATGATCCAAGTACTGAGCCTTGGGGTACTCCACTAGTAACGTTACTCCAATCGGATTTAGTGCCGTTAATGCTCACTCGCTGTTTCTTGTCCTGTAACCACGCCCTAATCCATTTTAGAATATCTCCTCCAATGCCAGGAGCCTCCACTTTTTTTATTAGTCTTTCGTGGGGGACTCTGTCGAAGGCTTTGCTTAAGTCAAGACATACTACATCATAGTCGTGTCCGTCGTCCACTGATTCGAAAATAGCTAAAAATAATGTTGATAGATTAGTTAGACATGAACGCCCGCTTGTGAAGCCATGTTGGGAATCATTGATCAACTTGTGCTTCTCCAAGGACTTTATAATAAACACGTACACTCATCTAACTTAACCAGGGACGCGCTGACAGGAACATAACATTGATTTATCTTAACCAAGGACGCTATAATGAACAAGTATACACTCTCCTAACTAAGCTAAGGACGTTCTAACGAATATGCACGCTCACCTAACTTAACCAAGTGCACCAACACTGACTCTGTTCCTCATGTTTCCCATCACCCATGAAAACCTTGAACTCTCATGAGGTATTTTCTACTGTTTAGCCTTATTTATATTTTATGAATTCCTCTGATTTAACCTCCACGGATCACCTCTTAGCACCCCTTTAACCTCCACTGATCACCACATAATACCCCTTTAACCTCCACGGATCACCTCTTAGCACCCCGTTAACCTGCACTGATCACCACTTAATACCCCTTTAACCTCCACGGATCACCTCTTAGCACCCCGTTAACCTCCACTGATCACCACTTAATACCCCTTTAACCTCCACGGATCACCTCTTAGCACCCCGTTAACCTCCACTGATCACCACTTAACACCCCTTTAACCTCCACGGATCACCGCTTAACACCCCTTTAACCTCCTCGGATCTCTACTTAACACATCTTTAACCTCTATGGATCACCACTTAACATCACCACTGCCCTTCAGGTATCGTGGTGTGCAACTGGTGCGTCATGGTGTCAGTGGTGCTAACGGTGTGGTGTACGTTCGACGCGGCGGGGAGGAGCTGGGTCAAGATGAAGCGGTACCAGCGTTCTATGAGGGACTCCCACACCAGGTTCCAGTACCGGCGCTCTGGCAACAGGAACAGGAACTGGCGCCAGAGGTTAGTGTGTGTGTGTGTGTGTGTGTGAGAGAGAGAGAGAGAAAGAGAGAGAGAGAGAGAGAGAGGTGTGTGTGTGTGTGTGTGTAATAATAATAATAATAATAATAATAATAATAATAATAATAATAATAATAATAATAATAATAATAATAATAATAATAATAATAATAATAATAATAATAATTAACTGTTTATTGAAAGAGCATGGCAGCCGGAAGGTTGAAAATATACAGTTACATAATTGGGGAATGGGTCTCTTGATTTACAAATAATATACAAGTAACATAAGTGATACAAATATGATATATAATAACTAGGTGGGGAGAAGCTCAAACTACAGGGTATTTCAACATACTGTAGTGACAGTGCAGAAAGTAAGATTGACTGGGAGTGAATACACTGGTTGATTACAAGTTATTGATAATTTTTACAATGGTTGGGACTGGGCTGTTCTTATAGCGATCAGTTCGTGCTCGTATGGGCTGGATGCGGTTGTGGTGTCGAACAGCAATTCTCGGGCGAGGGATCTCAGGTGGTAGTAGGAGCCGGTGTCGAAGATGGTGCAGAAGCCTCTCACCAAATTTGCAGATGAGGTCGTGGTGATGGCCAGTGGGAGCTTAGAGGGTCAATGTGTTGAGTGCTTCTTGATATGTGGAGTAGGAAGGTGAGAATTGTGAACTCTTGGAACAACCTGCCAGAGAATGTTGTGACGGTACCGAGTGTGAACTCTTTAAAGACCAGACTTGACCAACATTGGAACAGGGTCAGATACCTTCAGAAGCCAGTTCATGCCCAGTACTTGCCAACAGTGCGTAACAGAGACGTGACCGACCGCCCAAACGGTTAACGAGCCTATCAGTGGCGAAGAGGATAAAAGTAAAAGTAAAGTAAAAGTGTCTGCTGAAAGTGTCTACGGCTCTCATCTATACATCAGTCCTTGCCATATCAAGCCTTTCAGCAGCCCTTTTCTCAAATTTGAAGTTAATGTGTGTGTGTGTGTGTGTGTGTGTGTGTGTGTGTCTGTGTGTGTGTGTGTGTGTGTGTGTGTGTGTGTGTGTGTGTGTGTGTGTGTGTGGTGTGTGTGTGTGTGAAATAGAAAGAGAGATAGACAGAGGGAGAGAGATTAAACTTATGTAAGAAGTGATGAAAAAATGAAAGAAAATAAATATTCACAAATCCATCACTTACTGTATATACATTATCAAATACACACTATATATATATATATATATATATATATATATATATATATATATATATATATATATATATATATATATATATATTCAAATCTAATGAAATGTTGAAAGGAAAATCTTGATAAATCACGGGAAAAGGAAACGGAGCACCTGAACTCGTCTTTATTCAAGACATCTTCGAGCAACTGCCTGAAGATGTGAATAAAGACAACTCACTTCCATTTCGATATCAAAAATTTATATATATATATATATATATATATATATATATATATATATATATATATATATATATATATATATATATATATATATATATATATATATATATGCTAATAACCACAAGGAAAGAAGAAAACACAGAAGTTCCCCAAAATTGCTCGTGTAATTTCAAATCAATCTAGGGGTGAGTACTGGCTCACCTTAGAAGATGTAATTACAAAAGCGCTAAGTTTCTCATTTTCTCTTCACTGTAAATTCTCATACCTAAATCACCTACAGTGATTTACTTGCATATATATATATATATATATATATATATATATATATATATATATATATATATATATATATATATATATATATATATATATATATATATATATATTCTAATTATATTCTAATATAGCCTTGTGTATATACTTTGCAGTATATAACACCAAGTCTTTCTATGGCCTCTCTCAAATCCCAGGTATTAAATTATTATTATGTTCTACAGGAAGGTATTGAGAGCCTATCAAGACAGCTGGGACCACCGATGTCGACTTCTCTTCTGTTGTATGGGCAAGTCTGACGACACTAGGGTAAGAGCCCTTCCTTATACTCACTGCTCTCATATCACAGTAATAGGGTAAGGTTCCATGTAAAGTGGAAACTCGCTGTCGGCTCGTGGTGATAAATTCATCCAGCCTCATGTCTAATGTGGGTAATATTTCTTTATTAGTGTCTGTGATTCATTTGCTACATTTGCTGAAACCGAGTCTGTCCACTCAATCCAAAGTATCTGCCATCCTCATATCTGAGGGTTGGCGACCACGATCCTCCACTCTAAACGTTCTCGGGCTGTTTTTACCAATCCTCCATTATTTTGTATCTCTCTAAGGACCCAGTTTAAGTTTCGTTCATCCTTCCCAGTCTCTGCCTTCCCCTGACCCCCTGCCAACTTTTCCCATTAATATTTCTGTTATTATCTCCAATTATATGACCATAGTATCTCATTTTTCTTTTTCTGTACATTTCAAGTATTTATCTTGAAATTTATGCTAATCTTAGTACTTCTTCATTTGTTTTCCTGTCAGTGTAGCTTATTCTTAGCATTCGCCTATAATGGCCTCCAAAGGCCTCCAAACCTCTTTCTGCGACCTAATTAAAGTGTATAATCATCTCAGCGGGCACTACTTGGTCAGTGCACATACCTGGCGCTGGCGGACGCCCGCCCTACAAGGGGTCACAGCTCAAGGTTGAAAAAGCCAAGAGCCCAGAAAACTGTGAGGACAAACTTTTTTGCAGTGAGAATTATGAACTCTTGGAACAACCTGTTGTGGCACTGAGTGTGAACTGGACAGACTTGTGAGGGTGGATGCTGCCTTGGTTACAGCTGGCACTTAGGCACATGCGCCCAGGTTACTTGCCTTCAGTGAGTATAAAAGCAAAATGTCTGTGTCTACGGCTCTCATCTATACATCAGTCCTTGCCATATCAAGCCTTTCAGCAGCCCTTTTCTCAAATTTGAAGTTAATGTCTCTTTTCATTAGGTCTTTTAGATTTTTGTTTGCCCTATTCTTGTTTGGATTTCTTCCGTACATCTACCATCACAGCTAATGTTACTTCCCAAATACAAAAACTTTTCTGCTTGTTTAAGTTCCTGTTGCCTACCATAATTTTTTTTTCAGATTTATTTCTAATTTGGTAACAACCATTACTTTAGTCCTTACAGCATGAACTCATAAACCATATTTTTCACCTTTTTCCACTAATATGATAACGATTTTTTGTAATGCCTCTTCACTATCTGTGATAAGAGCAGCAGCATTAGAGCCTGCCCTGGCAAAGTTGGCGCCCGAGGCAAGATTTTGGTTGCCCTCCCCCCCACTACCACCACCACCACACATACACACGCTAGGTCTTGACTAATCCACTCCAACCTTTAGCAACACATAGATTATGCCTATCCACCCATTATCCTGAGCATATAATTACACAAACACTTTCATATCTGTACATATAAAATAAGTAAAAGAGTCTTACTTCAGACCCCATAGAAAGATACTGGCCATTGCACTGAATACTCACCAAATAAGGAGCAAAACATATTTATTGACAAGGTTTAAGAAATATTACAGAAAGACGAAAAAGTCTTAAAATTTACGATGAATTGTACCCGTAGCAATTTGCAGTAGTGGTCTCCAACGATACAATTACCGTTAACTGAAATGCATACTTTCTCTACAGCCTGACTCGCCTTGACCTTTTTGCATCGAAGTCATCTATTATATCATCATATGATAATTGTCTGGAAAGGTCATGATTCACACTGATAATGGTCAGTTCACTGAGGAGTTCTTGCATCCGATTAGACCTTCGGTAGTTTTTGATCAATTTTAAGTGTAGAGAAGCTCCTCTCCGAAGCAGCCACTGTTACAGGGAAAGTGGCAGAGATCCTCAGACCTACACACATGTTGGGATATACTTCCATCAGTTTCTTCTCATGCAAGAAAGTCACACGTTCCATGGTTGTCATGTTACTTGATGATAAATGTGGAAAATTTTGCAGTTCCACAGCCAATTCCCTGCCATCAATATCTGACTGCCCTTTGGAGGTAAGAGTGTTGCTCACTGTTTCACACTGCTGCATCAGGTCCTCTTCGGACATGCTGACGAAGTTGTGTAGCACCCTAAACTTGGCATTCACCTCTCCCAAGATCTGGAATCTTTCATCAAGGGAAGAAATGCCTGCATCCACAACTACATTAAAGAGGGAAGTCTCCATTTTTTGAGTGCATCACTGATAGGTTCATCTACAGACTCGTAGCTAAGTGCCTTTTTGTTGATCTTTACCTCTTTCGTTTTAGTACTGTCTCCACATTCATCTCTTCGCATATCTCCTTAGCAGTAGTTGGTGCACCAGTAAAGCCAGTGTCTCTTTATCTGGTAAGGCAATCTCTTGTTTTCTTCAGCAGGTCCACAGCCACTTCTAGTTGTATGCAGGTTGAATGCATTAGCTTGCTCACATGCTGAATGTTGTTGAGGATGCCATACCACACTACTGAGCAAATAGAAAAACGGTAGGATCCAACATCCTCTGCCAAAGAATGGGCTTCAACCTTAATGACAGGATCTGCAATAGTTTCCCTCACCTCCAAAAGTGTTTGTATGACTTGCTTTTTACCTTGCTCTCCCACCTGGTTCCTGACCATGATTTCAGGGTCGTTTTGACGTGTTTTAAAAAGGATAGCCCATCTTTGGATGGAGCCTGAAAACAGTGTGAAGAGTTTCATCAAATATCCAAAGTAGCCAATGGCATCTGGAGAGCTCTTAGTATCATCAGCGACCAGTAGATTTAAAGTATGGGTTCCACATGGAACAAATAAGGCCCTTGAATACTGCTGAAGCAGCCTGGCTTAAACACCTTTATTCTTGCCCTTCTTGTTGGCACCATTGTCATACGATTGCCCTCTGCAATCCTCAAAGAGGATGTTTAACTCCTCTAGCCTTTTAAGAATGAGGGATGACAAACTTGCCCCTGATGACTCCTCTGCCACAAGGAACCTCATGAAATGTCCCTTTGTTTGTGGCGTGTCTTCCAGTGAACAGTATGACAGAGAGCTGTTCCTTGTGACTCAGATCAGGTGTGCAATCTAAAATGATGAAGAAATACTTTGATGCTGTGATTTCTTCCACCATTTTTTTATAATATATTTCCACTGATGGTGTTTATTAACTCATTTTGAATATTTTTGCCAAGATAATGAGTGTGATTGCCTGCTCCACTTTCCACCTTACTAACATTCTGCTTCATAACTAAATCAAATTTGGCCAAAAGCTTCACTTCTTTGAGAAAATTGCCATTGTGTGGTTTGTTAAACGTGTCTAAGGACTCCCTTAAAGCCATATTTCTCTCAGCTAAAGACAGAATTATTGCCACCAATCTAGTAAGGACTTGGTGCCACCTGTCCCTCTCAACCTCAGCAAGTGTCATCTCTTGTTGATCTATTGTTTTCCCCTTTGCAAGGTGAACCTCCAGTTCCTTCCATGTTGCCATATGTGAAGTGTGTTCCGAGCTATTTTCATTTGTCTTGAGCAAGTGGCTGGCATTTTCCCAATCCCGGAATCCTTCTTTATTCAATTTGAAATCCTTCTGAGAAATTTTTTTACAACAGAAGCAGTAAAGACTATCATTTTTTTTAATACATTAGCCAGCTTCTTTTTATTTATTTTTTCTCCATTGACTAAGACTCTGTTAAAATATTCTTGATGACATCTTCTCCCATCTTTTTGTTTTGGAAAAGTGAAACTTTGCTTAATCTGATATGGTCCTCTTCGAACAGGAGAGATGGCCAGTCCGCAGGGTCTACAGGTGCAGCCTTGCTGTGCTCATTAGATGTGTCACTAGACTGTGGAAAGGACAGGGGAGCTTGACACTGTGTCACTGGACTGTGCAGAAGTGGAAGGGACAGGGGAGCTTGACACTGTGTCACTGGACTGTGCAGAAGTGGAAGGGACAGGGGAGCTTGACACTGTGTCACTGGGCTGTGCAGAAGTGGAGGGTGTCTGCAGGTGGCTCAAGGTTTCCAGGGGGAGGAGGTCAAAAATATATCAGAAGTGCATCTGAAACAACAAGCAATAGGGCTGTGCGACCATTATGCATATCACGATAACAAAGCAGTTGACACTTGACAGTTATACCCAGCGATAATAGCCTATGTCATGACATATAGTCTGTAACATTAAAAAAATTCAATTCAGCCCAGTAATAATAGCGCATTGCCTAAAGGCCTTATTCCAAGAGTCCATGATACATTGCCTGTAAAATGAGAAACTCAGCAATAAAAAATCAAAACCCAGTAATAATAGCCTATGCCATGGCATATAGCCTGTAACATAATAATACAAAATCACAGATAATTTTAAAGACATCTGATTTAAAAGGAATATCTTCGCAACTAACAGTCAGCGATTATCAAAATACACGCATCTCATGCGTTTTTCTTCCCTCTTTTCTTCTCTTTTTCCCCTGAGCACCAGAGAGCTTAGGTCTTTTTGATACAGTTGACAGGAGTTTCAATTGTAATTTTTCTATTCAGGTTTATATCCTAAAACAGAAACACAAACGAAATTAATCGGGTTTGTTAATGGCGCCTTGGCGGTGCACTCTTTCTACCACCTACCATATTTCGCCATCCATATTACATTAGCCCACGATTATTTTTCTGTATATCACTACTTAATCCCTTCCCTGATGGTTAAGTTTTGTATCTATTACAGTCAAGAAAGTTAACGTTACCCACAAAACTCTAAATTGGGATCAGAAGAAAAAATACATTACAGTGACAAGTGACGCACACGAGGGCGAGGTCTGACAGACTGTCTGAACCAGTGTTGCCAGGTTTCAACCAGCATTTTTCTGTAGATTCAAGCTCAATTTATAATTTTCTTCTTTTTTTCTTGCGTCGTTTGCCCCCACCCAATGGATCGATGGCGCCCTTAGCATTCGCCTATACGACCTATACCTAGGGCCAGCCCTGAGTATCATCTGCATAACATTTATTTGAAATTACTTTACCATTAACTTTTAGTCCTTTAT